GACACGCGGCCGTTCCAGTGTCGAACGCACGCTTACTCTAGTGCCGACACACACTCACTCCAGTACAGGACACGCGGCCTCTCACGCGGCCTCTCTTGTGCCGGACGCGCGACAGCTCCAGTGCCGAACATGCGCCCCACTCCAGTGCTGGACGGCAGCTCGTGTGTTAGACATGCGGCCTCTCCCGTGCCAGACACGCGGCCCCTCCTGTGCCGAAAACACGGCCGCCCTGGTGTTGGACGGCTACTCCCATGCTGACACGTGGTCTTTCCACGACAGACACGAGGCCGCCTTACTGCACGACGGCTGCTCTTATGCAGGACACGCGGCCTATCCGGCGTGGGACACGCGGGGTTCAGTATCGGACGCGGCCGGTCAGTATCGGACATGCGGCCGGTCAGTATCGGACACGCGGCCGGTTCAGTATAGAATACACGGCCGGTCCAGTATGGGACACGCGGCCGGTTCAGTATAGGACAAGCTGCCTTGTCCTGTGCCGTGACGCTTCGACAGTCCCAGGGTTCGAAGTAGCATGAACGCCCATCGAGTAAAGCCTCACCGCCACTGCAATGATGGTACTTATGCCTCTGTTAAGATGCGAATGATTTTAATGGCACAATGTGGGTCAATGCAAACGAAATGTTTCAAGCACGCAATGCTCGCTTTCTAAGCAAGTTCGTGACATGCATCATAAGGACATAGGCCCCACAGCTGGAAAATGTGAAGTGCTTTGCTCGAATATGCCCATAACCGGCAGTTGAGACGTGCTCATCGGCTCAAGTCCGCTGCTCTGGCCGCTTGTGCACTTAGACCTGTGTCCTAAGCACCGGAACTTCTGGCATGGCCACGAAATGAGACTTTAGTGCAAATGAAACTCTCGAAGTGAACCTGCTTGATGTTTACGACGCATTTCATTTCATTTATCTTTGCTTTGTGTGGTTTGTCACATTAAGAGTTATATTGCAAAGGGTTCTGGTCGATTTGGCCCATGTGACAATTTAGACTGCTCCAAACTTCGTCAATGACAGAAAAGACAGTTTTTCACCCCTGTGCTGCCCGCCATCTGACTGCATCATCCTTGCCCATGTTATCCTTATTTTACTCTGCATGGGCCCATTCTTTTGTTGGTCCCGTGTGGTACGCTGTATGCCATCGCGCGACCCGGGCAGCAGCAGCGGGGCCTTTGATCTGCTAGCTCTTCGCCTGTCGGTGGCACGCAGGGCTTTTTCGTATTGAACGGTCTCATCCTGGAACCACCTGCCACCGACCAGCATTGCCTCTCGCACCCGCAGCGAGTTTCGTACCAGGCTGAAGAATCTAGACGGTCCGTTGGGTAATCATGGCTTGCTTGTCGTTGTGTAACATTTGTGGACGATTCACATTTTGATTAATTAATTGGCTTCTTGACGAAGCCGTGTGAACGACTGGATGGTTAATAACGTGCGAATGTAGTTCCGTTGTTGGCAAGTGTCAACATTGCATTCACACTTCAATTGCAGCTGTACCGAATCAAACTATTCGCTACTTGTTGGCAATGATTTGTGACCACAATGAACTGGACTGAGCTA